TGAGAAGGTGATGACTAGGAGATTGTTCATGGAATCGCAGGTGAGTATCAAAAGGTAGGTGTCAATGTAAGAGTCCCCATCTCTAGGGGAATTTGGGAAGTACAAAATGCTGTGCGTGTTATGATGCAGATGCCCTGCAATATGATGCAGGGTACTTTAAAAGATACTTAAGCAGCTGGTATTTCTGAAGCTTTTCAAATATACCGTTTCACTCTTAGAACTTTGTTGGGTGATATACCCATGCTTTTGGAACAGCTGTTTGTTATTCCAAGCAGCAACAAACACAAAAAATGTGGAAGGTAATTAAGCTGCATTAACTGGCAATTCTGTGAAGAAATTAAAAGCCTGAATATGGGTTACCATGAATTTACAGTGAAACATAACACCACTAGCTACCATGTGCAAAATTTGGTGAAGAGCCTAAGAGTACTTCGAAAAAGTAGGGTTCTTAGTAAATTTTAAATTACTGAAAAATATTATAAATGAAAATGAAGATCTACATTCTGTAGGTATTAACTTAAGGATTCAGGGCAATTTATCTCTAGCCCTTAGGGTTCCAGAGTTATGATCCAAAAGCTAAATTGCCTTATTATAGTGCTACTTGGTGTCGGATGTGTGTCGGTGTGCCTGAGCATCCTGCCAAGTTTGGGGTGTCTATGATTTTCGATCTCTGAAGGTGTAGTCACAGACAAAAAAAGGTCCTTTGCATACTGTCGATAGTACATTTATGCACGAAGCACAGCTCACACAGAAGTCACTGTCTGTTTGCATTTCGTGGGGAAATTTTTTGCATTTATGCAAAATTCCAGATTGAGTGGAACCAGCTGCCTACCATTTAAAAAAAATACATTTAAAGGGGTCATATGATGCTGCTAAAAAGAACATTATTTTGTGTATTTGGTGTAATGAAATGTGTTTATGCGGTTTAAAGTTCAAAAAACACATTATTTTCCACATACTGTACATTATTGTTTCTCCTCTATGCCCCGCCTTTTTGAAACGCGTCGATTTTTACAAAACTAATCGGTCTGAAAAGCGAGGTGTGCTCTGATTAGCCAGCTATCCAGTGCGTTGTGATTGGCCAAATACCTCAAGCGTGAGACGGAAATGTTACACCCCTCACCATACTGTTGATGCCGTGTCCCGGCCGAAGCGAACAAAAAACATGAAAACCCATTATAAACGAGGCATTTGTTGCATCCAGTGGGGACATAATTACGGATTATAATGACTTATGCTATATAATGACTTATATGCATTGCATCGCGCAGCGTAAACATAAAACCATGTCTGCACTTGTGATCAGAGAAATGACAAACAACAAGTGCTACTCCACACTGCCCAAAACTCGCGTTTGAATCATCAGTAGCAAATCCTTTAAATATGAAAAACTTAC